AAATAGGAAAAAATATAGCGCACCAAAAAGTTGAACGCAACCATCCCTCCACATTTCATGTGATCGTACTGGTATATCTTTTAGCAATCGTTATTTTTAATTACGTATCTTTTAGCAATTATGATTGTTATTTAAAATTATATATTTATAATTGAATAACTCTTTACTACATATATAGGCGATTCATCCTATGTGTCAAACTGGTCATTAACTGAAAATTTGACACTAACATTTTTGCTAATTTTTTTTTTTCTTTTTTTACAACCATTTATCTAATGAATTTGTTTATTGGATTATTAACTGATTCTATTAGTAACACAAATAAAAAAAAGAAGCTTTTAATTCAAAGAGCAAAGGTGATATTTTATATTAGAATAATTTGCTTATTATTTTTTTTATTTTAAAATTGTAACAGTTCTTGTACTCTTTAAATAGATTATATCAGAAATAGAACTTTTTTATATGCTACCCTATCAACGAAGAAAAAATAAGTGGTTTCCTGAGCTTATGTAAAGATTAATTTTAGTAGTAATTTATTGTAAAGTTAATTTAATCTTAATTAAATTTATCTTAATTAAATTAATATTTAAAGACTTTACAGGTTTAGTCGCGATGAACTTTTTGATATAGCCAGTAAAATACGAAGTAATAAGTGGGATGATGATACCATCGAAACGCCATTTCTTTCTAATTCACTATTAAAGCTATTAAAAATCGTCGGTGAAACAAAGGATGAAGATAAATCTCTAAAACAAGTTATTAAAGAAGAAACGATTCAAAAATTAGCGGATGAAAAAGCAATAATTCAAAAACTAGAGGAAAGCGAAAAAATAATTCAAGAACTAAAAGTTATTTTTGGAAAAGGGGCAGATTAAAAAATCATTGTAATCATTTTATTTGCGTAGTGCTTAGAATTGTTCGCATTATGTAATACATGTAATTAATGATTTTTACGGATTATCGCGAAATCGGATCATCGTGAACTTTAGATCTATTTTATGTTCGATTTTTAAAAATTTTTTGGGCCTTCTTGTCGGCTTTTTTTTTTATAGTTAAGTTAGGATTTATGGTTAGAGTTATTAATAAAGGAGTATAGGTGGATTTTGGTAGGGCTTATATTTTCAAATTGAGACCCCAACATTTCATGATGATCCGATTTCACGATAATCCGCGACAATTATTATTGTTAAATATACTCATTCGAGACTAAGTGTCAAAGGGTTTCTTATAATCACCAATTTCATTTAATCAAAGTGATTAAAAAATTGTGATTTTAGTCTGCCATTTTAATATCGCCCATAAAAATCGTAGCTGCTCAAAATCTTATTACAGTACTGTATTATTGTATTATCGTTATATAAATATCAAAAAAATTTTCTAATATAGGACATATGGAGGTAAAAGAATTCACAATATTTTAAGATTCTACAGAACCTGAAGGCATTCTATAAGTTATAATTCATAAAATATTCTGATGGACACATTTAAAATTATTAAATGCTTATTATCAGTAAGAAAGCAATTATTAATTAATTAGAGTAATATTATTTCGACTATATCGTGAAAGAAATCAATTTGTTCAAGTTTTAAAGCTTTAGAAATATGTCCAAAGATACTAGAAAATATGAAAATCGAAAATTTAACTTTAAGACAAGGTTTAGTTCTATTCTAAAAAGTAATCATCTTATATTTTTAGCCATGATTTCTAAGAAAGACAGCTGAATGTTAATATTTGAGAGGCCTTCGCTCAAAGTTAGTTGCAGTTACTTTTTGGGCTGATAAAATTTATTCAGATTTTCTAATAACTACTCAACAAAATTTGATAAAAAATTTTGTAAACTAACAGTTCGATTTAGGTTGATATTTTAATGAATACTAAATATTTTCTTATTGGGCAATATGAATAGATCATCTTATGCTCTCTTATTGGTTGGGCAATTTGTTCATCATGGCAAGGATCCAATAGACAGTGATATATTGTGTCTTCTAAGTCAAAAGAAAGATTCTTTTCGAACTTTTTGGCGTAGTGAATATTAATATCCGTTTAGAACTATCAATGGTGTTTGCGATAAACTTTTGTTAGTGAAACATCCTCAAAAGATACATACTTTAAAACAATTAATATCATCTCAAGAACTTATCATATTTTTCGTTCTACTTTTGCTAACAACTTCATATAATGAGCAAATTTCTTGGCATCTCTTGTATAATAAATTTTTTTTTATGCGTAAGGTACGAATGGTATTAACTAATTTACCGACAGTTAAGATTAGAGTTACTATTTTACCAATTGAGGATGTCTAAAACATGGCCCTGGAAAACAATGATTTTTTGAACACATATCAGAATATATATTTTTTAAGATATTATATATGCATTAAGGCATTACATTGAAATTGGTTAATGTTATATAAATAATCACATTGAAATAAGTAAATGATATTTTTATTCCACGAATTATTAATTAATAATTTTAACGCTTTTAAGGTTTTTATATCTATTTCCAAATTTATTTTGAGCCAAAATTTTTTGATTTGTTGATTGGGTAGCATATAAAAAAGTTCTATTTCTGATATAATCTATTTAAAGAGTACAAGACCTACAAAAAAGAA